ATCTATAAGTCTTTTATAAAATAAATAACAAAGTTGAATATATTATTTTTATATAACTGTAAAATCTACAAGGAACTCTCAAAAAAATTAAATACTCATAAAAACTAAAATTTGGTTTTACTTTTTATCTTCAGTTTTTCTTAAAAAAAAATTTGTAAAAAGTAGATTATTCAGTTTACTCCTTTTAAAAGATAAATATATAAAAATACTAAAACAATTAGCAGTATTTACTTCTTAATTAAAATTGTATAAATAATACAATAATATAAATATAACTCATATATGTGTCTTGAATTACTAAAATTCTGTAAAATACTGCTTTTGGACTAACTAGTAATTTATATTAACTTTTTATATACAAGTCAAAGTTTTTATTCTATATAGTTTTTTATTAAATATTCTAAGTAAATAGAAAATAATAGAATTAATTTTATTTAGTATAGTTTATAATTTTAAAAGTTTAATACAAGCTCATAATTGTAATTATCTAATAGTCATATGATAAGAGTTACATATATTATTTTATTTACTTCTTTTCTTTTCTCTTTTATTTCTTATATTGTATCTTTTATTATTTATTCCTATATTTTTATATTTTTTTTTTATAAAATTTTTTTTGTTTTTTTTTACTTTTCTATAAGAAAATATTATCAGATTAATAATATTCTATTGTAAAGCAATAGTCAGATGCACCTTTGATCCTCTTTTTTTTTAGAAATTTAGATACTAATGTAGACAAATTACTTGTAAATGCTTATAGAAATAATTACAAAATATCAACTCAGTATATTAAGTTTAAAAAATGTTTTAGTATAAAGACATAGAATCTTAATAAAGAGTATTGGTAAGACTGCCAAAGTCAAGAAAAAAAAGATATATATTATAATTATTATATACTTAAATCTGTTATATTTTATTAAAATTTTAATCTATATTATAAATATAAGTATAATATATAATAAATTTACTATTAAGAAAAACTTGTATTTAACTATTTATAATAATTTAAAAAAAAATTTTTATTATTAAAGGTTATACTTTATGACAGTTATTTTATTAATATATTAAGTTAGTATTACAACTAATTTTATAGAAATAAGAGTATATCTAACTATATATACAACTTTTGATTATCTATTTAAATAGTTTATTCTAAAGTTTTATATTAAATACTATGCTTATAATCTATTAGGAGATTATTTATTTAAACTCTTAATTATCTACTTATTAATTATCTAACTACTACTATGCTTTTTATATATATTTAATATATATTATCTAAGTAATATAGTATTTTTTTTTCTAAACTAGTTTTAAATCATTACATATTTCAAAGTATAATATTTGTTAGTAAAACTTAGAAGGTCTTCTTTGTTAACTACTTATTCACTTTATAAATCATTAATAAAAGCTTGCTCTTGTATTTTAGTATCTACTTTATAGTATATCTCTAATACTTTAATATATTTCTTTTTGTTTTTAGATTTTCAATTTAGATAGTTTAGAAGAATTGTAACTTGTCTTTGGTATATTGAGTTCAATATAATATTTTTTCTTCTGACTCAACCTAGCAGTCTAATTAATAATACTTCTCACTTAGAGGTTTTTGTCTATCTGATTTTTCTATATTGGTATTTGTTTTTTTGGTCTAGCCTTTACAGTAGTATTATCAAAGATTTATAATATTTCTTTATTCAGATTTTTTTAAATAGGCTTCAATTTTTCTCAATTTTATAGATTTACATAAATAATAAGACTTATCTTGAGTTTGCAATGCCTGATACTGGTTTGCATCTTTTTGTGTAATCAAAATTATATAAATGCCCTGTAATCTGCCAGTCATGCTAGTGCAACTATAGTTACAGATATCTTATCTTAACTGATTGACAGAATAACATTGCTATAATATTGTCTATATATTATATAAATAATTATTCAAAATTTTGCTATCAGTGGGTTTTGAACTCACAACCTACCATTTGAGGATTGACAACTTATCACTTTATTAAGTCACCACATCTCAAATTAATTCAAATTTAAATAATTCTAATTTAAGTTTATTTAAACCAAATTCAGACTAATTGAATCTAATTTAAGTTTAAGTAAATCTAATTAATATTCAAATAAAACCAATTCAAAATTATTTAAACTCAATCTGGGTTGAGTTTATTTAAACCTAGTTTAGGTTTAAGTAAACTTAGGTCATGGTTTATTTGAACCCAATTCAGGTTTAACTAAACCTAAATTGGGTTTATTTGAACTCAAATTAGGTTGTAAACTTAGATTGGGTTTATTTAAATCTAATCTAGGTTCAAGTAAACCCAAATTAGGTTCAATTGAACCTAAACCAGATTTAAGTAAACCCAAATTGGATTCATTTAAACCCAATTCGGTTTTAAATAAACCACCAGATTAATTTATTTAACCTAAAGCAATACTTAAATCTAAAATCTAAAATAATTAAGATTAAACCCGAAGCAACGCCCGGGCCTAAGACACAGTCGATCTGAGAATATTTGCATAAATATTTGTGGTTGTGAATAATAGAACGGGTATTCACCAAAATCCAGATATTCGTCCAATGCTATTCGTTAATACCAAAACCCATGAATATTTACTAAATAACCATAATGGATATTCAAAGGACTGACCTCTACTTCAAAGATAGCGAATCAGTTTACAGATTTTCGTCCGTCACTCGTATTATAGATGTTATTATCTTTATCAGTTAACCAATTATTTCTATCTTTTTACTGGTGTTTTATGCAAAAACTTCTAAAGTTAATTTACTAATACTATTTAAGAATAGAAATGTATAATTATAAGTTTGTTTTATTAATTTGAAATATTTGATATTCGTTTATAGAAAACTTGAGTTCGGTATCCAGTGAAATTCTAATGCATTTTTCGTATGAATCCTTAAAATAAAAATATATATACTTTTTCTCGATTCGCATTATTAATGACAAGAACATTAAAGTTTGCACAATTAATTACGGAAATAACAAAGAGCTAGGACAGGATTTTGTACGTGACTTAAAATAAAAGATTTAATGGTACCATTTTTCAATGAAAAAATAAAAATTTCTCAAATCCAAATTTTGATTGGTCTTAAACGAGAAGATTATAATCACCAAGAATTTAATCAGTGACTTCAACTTTCATAACTGCGAAAAAGAATTTGAGCCAAAACCATCCCTGCTTCCTCGGTGAAGTAATTTAAATTCATATGGAATGTTTGATATATCATATACTTCAGTTTTCTTATCAATCCATGTGGCAATTTCAGCTTTATGCTCTTCATTAATTATTCTTTTTGGTAATGTTGAATTTAAAATAATACGAGGTGGTAGAATTGTTGATTTTATTTGGAGCCACTAATTCCCAATGACTTTTCTCAAGTTTTTATATCAACAATATCCTCTCTAGGAATTGAAGAAACATAGGGATAGGAACGGCTCAAAATTAGCCGGCTATCACGGCTTTTGAGCCAAGCCAACTCAAACTGTTCCTATCCCTAGGTAAACAATTTTGTATAAGTCCAATCTTCATGATTTGAAGGTAATCTGGGTTCTTTGCGATACCCCATTTAATAATGTAATTCCAAATTTTTATTTCTTTCATTTGTAAATCATCACGTTCGATAAGTGAAATAAAATCTTCAGATCAAAGATAACATTCGGATATTTTACTACAATGTCATTACACCATTTTTGTAATTCTATTATTTTCGAAACTTGCTTTGTAAACATGAGCAAAATGTGAATGTAATAAATGAGTTTTTACTTCAATCAAATGAATCTCAAGATGCTTTACTAATATTCCTCAAGAAATCTCCATTTTCAAGTTTTATATAATTATTTGAAAGGTTTTCAAAAAAAAAAAAATTCGGTTGCCATTGTTTCCATTAATCTGTGCAAGTGTTATAACCATAGGTGATGGTAAATCATGTATACTTTAAGATACAATGAATACCGACTTTTGCGGTAGTGTAAAATTATACAATAAAAAAACTTTAACTATACATATAGATTAGATCTAATAGATGATAACTAATTATCACTGACGCTCGGATAAAGTACCTTTTTGAAATCCATTTTAATAATCATAGAAATATAAGTAATTTCTTAACGTTAATAAACGGTTGTCGGTATAGTTAGTAGATCCGTGGGGATCTTGAGATCTCGAGATCTGGTGTAACGTTAAATTTAAATGCCTCTTACAACATTTTGGTATAATTTCGCTTACTAAACCTAACACTAACTCCAACCGAAGTGTCACATTTTAAAAAAAGACAAATAATTCCAGCCAATAGAAAGTGTGTGGAAAAGTTAGTAAATGCATTTATTCCTTAACATCGTAGTAGTCACATTATCACGTCCCCAAATATTTAAAATCGCACCCAGACTTACGTACATAATTAGCATTAGAATTGTTATGGCTAATTAATTTTTAAAATCTGGCCAGTTCCGGTCATATTGATCGGTAATTAATTAACAAATGATTGATTTGAGTTTAGGCTATAGTTACTAGTTTTATTTTAGTAACTTAATTCGTCTTATTAAAATGAAATTTTGACCCTGTGGCAAAGGTGAGAAAATCTTCAAAAATCAATTTTTATGTTATAAAATGGAAAATATACTGTAGAATTTTATTATTACAACTACTTTTGTGTCTTAAATAAAAAACGATCCTAATCTTATTCTAAATCGATTTATATAAAAAAAATTTCATTTGAAAAAATTATCAATTTCGACCCTTTTTCCATCACCTAGCCCATATATTTAAGAGTTCAGAATTTTCAATAATAAAGACATAGGAGATTGTTTTATTAATTAATATTCGAAGTAATTACATATATTAATTAAAATATATACTATATATGTCCTGCATATATGTTTATCTACAAATTGTTTTTTTTTATAGGTTTTTAATATAACTAAATTATGTATACGTTTTTTTTTAAAAAAAAAGAAAAAAAAAGTCCTTTTTTTTGATAATTACACGAAAATCATATAAAGCATGGTTGTTCCCACGACTATTAAACTTAAAGCAGCACCAAATAAACCATTATTATTATTCCCTATTTTATTCGATCCACTTATTCCGAAAGCATCATTTGAATCATCCGCTACGGCACCTGTAACTACTTGTAATAAAACAACGGTACTTGGTGGGACATAAGTAGTATATGAAGCCACACTACCATCAGTTTGTGTGGTGGCGACGACAGTCGTATAACCTGGAAATACTGTAGTAATTGTTGTTGTAAATGTTTTTAGGGTGAATTTTGTTGTTTTTTGATTCTGATTCAGGTTTTGAGGCGTTTGAGTAAAAATCGCAGTATTTGGTGGGGCAGTTGTAATGAACATTTTTCCTGTAGCGTCACTGTTATTTTAAATCATATGATATCACATATTAGCCAATAATATATTTAATAGGTACAAGGTCATATGATCGATTGTCATATGTGTCTATGTTTCATAGGGCCCGAATTTTGGCCAACATTTGTAATGTAGGCCAAAGTTCGAAAGAATGAATTGGCTTAATATAAAAAAATACGCACGTTTTGCCTGGTGGATCAGGTGTACAATTAGATAGACCTTTACAAACATCTTGAGTTATTGTCGTTCGAGGTGCAGGTGTATTTGCTAAGGAAAAAAAAAAAAAAAAAAAAAAAAAAAAAAAAAATTAGAATTAGAATTAACTGTTTCATAGGATCAGTCCGAGAATTGCGCCAGTTATTATATCAATTTTAATATAATGTATACTATGTATCTAATATTAACTATGGACTACCTCATGGCCATACAATTTCAATAGAGTTTTATAGTAAAACCAAACATTGACAGATTACCTGCTGTAGCGGTCCTTGAAACTGGCGGCCGTGTTGGAGTATCATTAGGTGTATTTTGAACTGGTGTGTTTTCCGCAGGCGTACCTTGAACAGACACACCTCGTGTTAGTGTATTTTGAACCGACACACCTCGTGTTGGTGTATTTTGAACCGACACACCTCGTGTTGGTGTATTTTGAACCGACACACCTCGTGTTGGTGCATTTTGAACAGGCGTACCTAGTGTATTTTGAACAGACGTACCTCGTGTATTCTGAACAGGCGCGCCTTGTGATGGTGTATTTGGAACCGGCACACCTTGTGTTGGTACATTTGAGGCTGGTGCACCTTGCGTTGGCGCATTTGGAGCCGGTGCACCTTGTGTTGGTGTATTTTGAACCGGTGTACCTTGTGTTGGTGTATTTTGAACCGGTGTACCTTGTGTTGGTATAGTTTGAACCGGCACACCTTGTGTTGGTGTATTTGAAGCCGGTGCACCTGGTGTTGACGCATTTGGAACCGGTGTACCTTGTGTTGGTATATTTTGAACCGGCACATCTTGTGTTGGTGTATTTGGAGCCGGCGTATCTTGTGTTGGAGTATTTGGAACTGGCGCATCTTGTGTTGGTGTATTTTGAACCGATGCTCCTCGTGTTGGTATATTTTGAACCGGTGCACCTTGCGTTGGTATATTTTGAACTGGTGCACCTTGCGTTGGTGTATTCAAGGCTGGTGAATCTTGTGTTGGTGTATTCAAAACTGGTGAATCTTGTGTTGGCGTGTTTTGAGCAGGAGGATTGTTTTGAGTAGGAGGATTGTTTTGAACAGGTGTATCTTGAGGCGTATTTTGAGCGGGTATACTACGCACGGGTTGATTTTGCACGGGTGTATTTTGGACAGGCGTATTTTGTACGGGCGTATTTTGTACGGGTGTCCTTTGGGCTGGGGCATTTTGGGGAGAATTTGGTGTATTTTGAGCTGGAACGTTTTTGGGAGAATTTGGTGTATTTTGAGCCGGGGTGTTTGGAGTATTTGGAGTATTTTTGGGAGCAGTAGCCGGTGTATTAGGTGATTTTGAATTATTTTGTCGTTTCATTAAATTGTTGCTTTTGTCAATATTTGAAAAACCACTACTAGTACATACTAACACCACCAAGATAAAAACTACTAATATAATACTATTATTAAAATTTATACGAACTTTCGTCATCTTTTGCTATCGCAATACAACGTTAAAATATATGTAAAATAAAATTATTGTAGCTTGTTTCTAAAGAAATTTTTTCTGATAAAATCGATCTACGAGATTATTATTTAGAAAAAGTTTAAACCTCAAGATATATATATATATAAATATACATACCAATATGCCAAGAAGATATATATATATGTATATATACAAAGAGAATCGGTACGTAAATTAAAAATATCCGATGAACTGGAATATATATGCGGCCTTTAATGCGTGGCCCAGATAATGAAATCGCTTATTACATCTCACAAAAAACAATTGGCATTTGAAATTCAAAATCTAAACTTTTCTCAAACCACATCAGGCTATACTACCTTAAGGAGAATAGCCGTAGATTATTGTCTAGAGATGATAATAATTAGATATAATTGGATATATATTGTCTATATGTAATAACCATATGGAACTGTCTGTACGTACTATAATATACATGAAACTTATTGGGATATACAATTTTTGAGTATTGTGTTCATCATCGGGATAAGGCGATGATGTGCATGTCCAACTTTGGATTGTAAGGAAAATTAGGCTAACTAAATTTATACGTAGCTTAAAGAACTTTGAAAATACGTAATTTTTATGTAATATATATTTATAAATATTAGACCACCTTATATGCTATGAGGTCTAACTTTATCATTGCCTGATAAGTAAACTTTAGAAAAAACATGCTTTTCGACTTGTAACACTTCAGTGTTGTATTCTTCTTAGTATTAAGTTATACATATGTATGTAAAAGGGCAATCCATTCGCGGAGAACAAAGGCGCATTAAGAAAAAAAGGAAAACAGTTTTATCTATATATAGTCTGCCTGATATATATAATCGAAGAACAAATATACATATTTGAAAGTTTATATAGTTTTACAATTCTATTATACAATGATATGTAGAATAACCTTCACATCTGGTGGTTATGGTAATATAAAAAACTTATTATTAGGAGTTTTAATTAATAATTACGTAATAATGGTTATAAATAACAACAGAAACATCTAAAGAAAGTTCTCAGATGCTGGTACGTGCATATACGTACGCGAGAGTAGGACTACGTGTAGAAATCATCATAGTACGTATGGCTTGTAAAAAACATTTCAGTTATTTTTATTCATATTAAAAAGAACAATACGCTTGCCCTAACCATTAAAAAAAGAGATATAAAACTTACAAGTCTATCTTAACCTTACAAATGATCGAAATTTAATGAATAAATATAACGATAAGCACATTATGTAAGTACAAGATTTTCTTGATTTTCTTTGCGTATTTACTTTTCAAGCAGTACTTACATACCAGGTTTGTGGTTATGGATGTACGGACGTACTTTATATTTTTAGAATTTCTAGAATAGTTGTCTGTTTTTTTTTAAATATAGCACTTTTGGCGCGGAATTAAGTGATGAAACATTTTTTTCATAAATGTAAAATAATCGGCAATTATTTAAATATACACTATTATACGTACTAAAAAAGCTAAATACATATATATTTAATAATAAAAATAAGTAAGATTTATTAAAAATTCCCAATAGAAGCAATGGACTTGGAGTACATAGGCAAACTTTCCAAAAATGTATGTTAATCTGACTGATAATCTCATACGTACCTGAGACATTTATGCATTCCTTCAAAATATCATTCAACTCACAGAGATACATCATTGTAATGCAGTTCGTTCATCCACATCTTTTTGTTAGATTTCTATAAAATGTATTCTGAAACAATGTAATCAATGGACAAAGGGTAGGGTTTGGACACGTTACACTAAAAAAAGAAATATTTTAACAACTCAAAATTTATTACAAATATTTTTAAAAGTGTTTAACATCTGATTTTACTTATCTTTCTACAATTTTTTTAACCTTTGGACATTCTTGAATATTCTTAAACCTGACAAAAATGGTCGTCAATATTGACTTGAAACAAATCAATATTTCATTTCTCGAGGGTATATATTTGTCGGCGTTTTTACAGGAGTAATGCATCATTGGTACATGTTCATAACATAGTAGCTTGCATATTTGAATTTATCTATCCAAGCACTACGTATTAAACAGTCAGTGTTGGCCTACGTATTAGTGACCGTTATGTATGACCTATCAGTTAATTACAGGTTATGACTTATAAAAGTTACTATTACATTATGACCGCCTTGGTCATATAAAGTTAGTTAAGACCTCAAATGTCCAACACTGCTGTTAAAAGTTCGGCCAAAACTCGGTTAGATTCAGCATGCTCAGGTTCTTATGGTGTTACTTAATATCCATAGAAATATCGTATTAAACAATAAAGATGTTAGCTAAATCAATTTAATCAATTAATTCCTTATCAAGTTGGCTTGTTTAGTTTTTTTTTGCGCATGATAAAAAAATGGTGTATAAAAAGATCCAAGAATGCAATCTACCCCAACTACAAATATACTGTACATATCGAGTTAACCATGAATAAATATTCGGCTTTTAGATGGTTTTGGATTTATTATCTTGTGTTAAAAGGACTAACTGGTCAATCTTTATATAAACATCCGTTGGCCGGTTTACAAGCACGTACGTATGCATTAAATTACTTGAGATTGGTGAAATTTTACGTACGAAAAGCATATTAACATCAATTAATAATACATTATTTGAATGCCGACCTAAAAAAAAATTCGTTAAAAAAATTTCACTATTATATTAGGTTTGGGTTTTCACTAAAATTTCGCAAGAAAAACTTTTTGTTAAATGCGTGAAAAGTTGTTTAAGTATTTTTTTTTTTTTTTTTGATTTACAACTGATCTTAAAATTCGACTGGTCTTTGAAATTTTTTAGGTGGTAACGCTAGCAATGTTATGGATATGTTCCGGTCCAGCCTTTGTTCAAATGACTAGATCTGTGTAGTAGACTGTGCAAGATTAGTGCAAGATCCATAATCTGGTCCACTTGATCCGGTCTGATCCAGGATCAGTCCACCTTCAACTAATAGAAAATTTTGACATAGTACCATTAATTAAATTTCATCACAAAATCATCATAAAAGCTATTACCTAGTTTCAGAACCAAAAATTAGGAACATATCGGGTTCCAATTATTTGCCTAACATTTATTTGCCCGACACCTTTATTTTTACTATCACTTTTTCAGCATTTTAAAGATGTCGGGCAAATGATTGTCGAAAAAGTCATTGTCGGGGACCTGAACATATCAATGTTGTATATTGATATCATAATGAATCGATGCTAAAAAAGATAACATAAAGCATTCATGTACGTATTATCAAAGATAAGAAAAGATGCGAAATATAATGTTGGACATTGCTATCAAATAAAATTGAAATTGGAGAAAGATGAATATCGATATGGGCTGATTTGGTTAGATCGGTCCTAATTTATGGAGTGAGAATTGTTCCAAGTTGGTCAAAAATCTTAACTTAGTTGTCGATTAATTGCAATACAAAATACCCCTATGTCAAAATAAAATTTTCCAATAAATATATATATATCACTATTGTTCATGAATTTGATCGTCCTAACTTTCTTGACTCTCTTGGGAAATATTATTCACTGAAACTAAAGGATAATCAGATGGAATGTCCTGCGTTTATGAATTTTTTACATAAGCAAAATATCATAAAGCATGTGTTTACGCTATAATTGTATTTGATGGAGCATTAATCACCGTTTGTACCTCACGAAATAGCTGAACATTTTTTCATAATTTCTGAACACCTGATAAAAAATTTGCCGAATGATTTTTCGGCCGATCCGGTTATTATTTCGGGCGTACATATGTAAGTCGTAAGTGGGAATGAAATTTAGTTAAATTGGGGTTAGGTTAGGGTGTATATACGGCAAAATCAACCCCACTTAAATTCCGTTTCCACTTACAACATGTACCTAACTTTTACATTAACAGTTAACCGTTAACTAGTGCACTGCCACTAGGGGAATCATCCAGGGCGGCCACAAAAAACGCGGTCATGGCGCAGCTGCAGTAATATCTCAGGTACGTTGATCCCTGTTAAGCAATGAACCAATTCATTAATTCGACTCTGGATCATCCAACGCCAACGAACCTTCCTATAACGAACTCACAGTTTCGAAATTTCATAATAGTTCGGTATAAAAATGCCTGAACTCTTATGAAAACCTAATCATTTTCTCTATAACGAATTTTTTCTCTTTTAGAATCTTCAATTCGTTAGAGAAAGAGTTAACTATATTTATAAATTGTTACCATGTAACTTATATTAAGAGGTAGTTCGCAGGTAAAGGTATTATCATAAATTTTTTATAGTAGTGGAATGCCGATTCATTATAATGAAAAGTTTTTTTTTTTTACTAAGTAAACATCTTTTGGATTTTTAATTAAAGTTAAACCGATTCTAATGATGAAATCATTAAAATCGTTGTGTAAATCATAAGAAATTAAGATTTTTTTTCTTTTTTATTACATGGTTTTTCCTTATTGTCAGAATGTTCGGCATTCCTCACTATATGAAAGTTATAGTAAAATACCCCGCCATATTTTATACCTTTTAATTGCGGACTGTTCCTTAAATTATATTTTAGAGATCTATGTTTAGATCATTTTTACTTCATAACTTGAAGTTTATTATGTTCTTTGATGTATATGAATCATTTTTTTCACAAATATTAAATTAACTATATCATTATATTACAAATATTAAATTAAACATATATTAAAATATTAAATTAAATCTGTATCAATGTCTTCTGTTATTCCTAATTCATTCAAACATGTAAGTACATAAGATATGGTTTTTTACTTGGAGCCCAAGTGGCTTATCTTTTTCTTTTTCTCTCTATGGATTTTATATCTTCTTTCATCTTTACTAATCAGTTCCATTTCATCATAGCATAGGATGGGATTACTTTGTTAAACAGTATTCAAAACATAAGATCCAAGCTAGGATTATTAAATCATTAAAAATAAAGTTATTTGAGAATTTCCTAATGAGT